AGAGGGTGCAGCAGCATCCCTAGTTCCAGCACCTATGGGGTGGGGGGCACAATCAACAGTCTGGTAAAACAGCAGAGATGGCTATCTCTGACCCGGCCTATTTCTTGCACAAAGAGGAATGGCCAGTCTGGGTAAGCAGATTCCATAGTTCCATCAATTTTTGGGGTTAGATCAGCAATCAGAGAAGAAACAAGTTAATACCCTGCTCTGTAAAATTGGATCTGAAGCAGACACATGCTCTTTTCCAGAAGCCTCTCAGCTGCTCAGATGAAACAGTTCAAGACTGTTAAAAAAGAATGGGATAAGCATTTCATGCCATGCCACAATGTGATTTTCTTTTTTCTCTTTGTGGGCACAATTTCACTTACACAAGCAAGGGAAGGGTGAGTCAGTGAATGATTTTATAATAATCCTCTACAACCTAATCCAACACTGTGGCTAGTGGGAGATAAGTTCTTCCCTCATCACAGACAGCCTTGTTGTAGGCTGAGGGACAGCCAAATGTCAGAAGGAATCCAAACTGATCCTAATGTCATACTAGAGCAGGGGTTGGCAACCTCTGGCACACGGTTCGCCAGGGTAAGCACCGTGGTGGGCCGGGCCAATTTGTTTACCTGCCACGTCGGCAGGTTCGGCCGATCGCGGCTCCCACTGGCCGCGGTTCGCCACTCCAGGCCAATGGGGGTGGTGGGAAGCCGCGCCCAGCACATCCCTTGGCCCGCGCCGCTTCCCTCAGCCCCATTGGCCTTTTGATTGATTATCTCTTTATTCTTTGAAGTTTGCCTGGTTGCTCGTCAAGTGCAGTTGTGGAGATTAAACCCCATCGTTTCCCATTTTGGGATTCCACAGTTTTCCTCTGAAAACTTTAAGAGGTTTGCAAATACCTATGGTTTCACTCATGTCGCTGTTGTCAGTAGCTACCAATGTGGTGCTCTGCTCTTGTTCGATGATGATAACAGTTGGCTGCGTGCGTATTCCCCCTGTGAGCTGCCCCGGCTCTGCAGATCGCTGACACAGCAAACCCCGAGAGAATCCCCAAAGACCACAGAGTCTAGTAAGGTACAAAGGAACCCAAGCCAGGTTTATTGTCAAACGAAGCACAGTAATAGTTTCTTATAGACTCTACAGGATATACTACGAATATGTGCCCCCTCGCAATGGACACAGCTCAGTCAGTGGCGGGACACTCCACTGCCCCCTAGGCTGGACAAAGATGCGCACTCCGGGACCTACTTTTATACAGTTACAGGACAGATTACTCATCCCTACTGACGTATTGAGGTACAGCCCCTTGGCTCATTAGGGTGCTGTCTCCCCCTTTGATCATGGTGATTCAGACAAACAGATCTATCCATCATGCTGTCCTTTTGACCCTGTCTTTAAGAGGCACCTGCCTGTTCCTTGTTATGTCTGTGGAGTGTCCTGATGTCATCTTGGCACAAGTTCCTCTTATTAGCACTTATGTGTGGATGCACCTGCTTCTAGCAACCCTCTTCTGTGAGTGGGGCCTGCCTCTGGCTCACAACCCAGCTTTTGCTTAGCAATGCCTGGAAGTACTTTGGTTCAGGATTCAGGCCTCAGACTGTGCCTCTGATACAAGAGTTTGTTTCAGGACCTCATCAGTTCCCTCAAAGCAATGGTGAAGCAGAATATGAAGTAAAGACAATAAAACAACTTATTTCTAATTCCTCAGATCTTCATCTTGTCCTGTTGCATACTGGTCAACGCCCCTAGCAAATGATTCAGCCCTGTGGAACTGTTGATGGGGAAGAAGTTGAGATCCATTATCCCAACCATCCCAAGACTACAGAAGAAGGAAGGTCAATATAAAGCCTGTCGGAAGAAGGACTTGAACGCCATAGTCAAATCCTTGAGGGTATTGAATCCAGGACATTGCATTTGGGTGAAAATTTCTCAGGAAAAGGGGACAGTGTAAGGAGGGGCCAGAGCTCCTCGATCCTGCTTTGTTAGGCTGCCAGGGGAAATTATCTGTCGGAACAGGAGACATCTTGTTCTGGAGGTTCACCTTTTGATGCAACACCCTGATTGCTACCCCAAGACTGAACCTATGAACAACACCCTGCCTGTCCACATAGAACTGCCAGCGGTTTCTCCAGCTCCTTTCCCTGCAAGGAGATATCCAATAAGAGAAACACTGCCTCCTGCATTCCTGGAAAATTATATAAAATCTTGAAGGTTCAAGGAAGTCAGAGAACTAGTAATCAAATGTCCTAAAAGGGCAGAATAAATCCCTGGTGCAAGGCTGAAGGTTCAGGCAGCCTACCCTGCTCTTCACATGGCTTTTTGTTCTTGTTTTGTGTTGATATTTCATTCTTGCTATATGCTTTAATGTAAAGTTTGGATAAAGGTCTATCAACCGTCCCTTTTCAGAAAGGAGGATGTGGTATTAGTCGTGAATCTTTAGAGTGGCCACTAGAGGGCATAGAGCAAGCAGTTAAGAGAAGAAGTGGGCTGTAGTCCACGAAAGTTTATGCTCTAATAAATTTGTTAGTCTCTAAGGTGCCACAAGTACTCCTGTTCTTCTTTTTGTGAACAGGAAATAGTCATTTTTGCATTCAGTTCAGCCCTGATATACTGCCTGTCTGAAATCTCTACCGTGGAGATTACGTCCCCGCCCCCCAGAGGAAGGTGGGTGCAAGAGACCTGAGTGTGACTCTAAAGCGTAGTCTTCATTACATACTTACTTCAACATAACTATGTTGCTCACGGGTGTGAAATCACCCATGAGCGATATAGGTATACCAACCTCAACCCCCATGTCGATAGCTCTATGTTGGCAGGAGAGCTTCTCCCCTTGACATAGCTACCGCCTCTCGTGGAGGTGGACTTACTAAGCTTAGAGCGTCTTCACCAGATGCGCTACAGTGGAGCAGCTGCATCGGTACAGCTACACTCATGTAAATTTGTAATGCAGACCTGCCCTGAGATACAATTTGGTCCTTTTTTTCCTTCCTTGCTCAGGGGATGGAGGGAGCAGGAAGACTGGAGGAATAATCTGAGTTACCTTGTGTGTCTGGGCGGCTCCTGGCAGTGTAACTATGCACTGCCCATTACTTAGGTTTTGTGGTAAAACCGAATCTAGTTCATGGATATTAGCTCACATCAGAGGCTTGCTATAATTTGGGGCCACTCAAAATACTTCATGGCCTGGAGGCTGTATTTAACACAGGTGGCTCTTATCGCTCGATATATGTAAGTACCTTAGGTGAATGCACTCTCGGCTAATATTTAACCAAGCACATTTAGTGAATAACTGATGTTTCATTATAACAGGAAGCTTTTAGTACCAAAAGGTTAAGTGGTTTATTTAAATATTGCCCAAGTATCTTTGCCATGTAAATTAAAAAAAAATTGCCCCTCTTGTGGCCAAGTCTGACAGGCAGTGGATAAAAATAACGGTAAGTTACAGGAGTCTGCTGCCATGACATAATTTTACTGGCATTCAGCAGGTAGAAATTTTTTTAATACTTCCTCTGTAGACTTTTATAAGCATGGATCCTCATTCAGTCTAATCATAACCTGGTAATAGGTCATCCTACGATGGGAATTATTGATTGGTTAGATCTGAAACATTTGCTCTTAGAAGCACTAAGGGATTAGGGGGGAAGTGTTCCTGATACTCAGAGTGCATCAAAAGCAGCAGCTATAGCTAATGGAGATAGAAGAGGGTCAAATTCTCTGCAGCCATTTACCCAGCAGAGAGCTCGGCTCAGAAGCCATTGGGGGGTGGGGAAGAGAGTAAATCAATTGCTGAATGCCAATTAAATGATGTGATGTAAGCAGACTCCCATAACCTGCCATTATTTTTACCCACTGCCTCTCAGCCTTGGTCACAACAATGGCAAAATAACTATAAAAAATAATGTTTCTTGGTTTACTCTAAACTTTGAGATCTTTGGATAAGGGTGCTATAAACAAATTATTATTATTTATTATTCAGTTTACCATATTCTCCTGTTCTGCTTATTGGGGGGTGGGGAATGCACCAGACATATTGACTGTGTACTGTTCTGTTTTGATGCTTTGCCAAATGGGGAGCTATTTCAAACTTGCCTTCCAAGTCTTGCAATAATAGTCTGTTTGTTTTCATATACTAAAGCAGTAACAATCTCCAGAATAACCTCAGTGGGGTTGTCCCTCCAGTGACGCGCATAGTAAATGATTTGTTCCATCTGTCAGTGTTTTAGCAATACCAGTATTGATTGTTTAACTGAGTACTAAGCCTACTTATGTCCTTTCATCTTTTACATGGGGTTCTGATACTTTTCCATTGTATTTTCCATGTGAAATCCTTTGTGCTAGTGACTAATGATGATCTCCTTGCAACTTTACACCTCTGGAAAACAGAGGTTACTTATCAGAGCGATGCAATTCCAAGAGAAATGTGGCTTTGATTTAGAGGTAGAGGTGTGAGGGTTGATGGGGAGTTGGAGGGGAAGGGGGTCAAATCAAATTCTTTGGATGATGTTGGGTTTCTATTTAAAAGGCTGCATTTGTCTGTAAGCAAAGTATGGACTGGTTTCCTTGCCTTATAATTAAGCCTAAAATGTTAATACATTCAAGTATTTTTTCCTGTTTAAGTATAAAAACTTTTTGTTTAATAGGTAAAGTAGAGTGGGGGCTTCTTTAATTTCTTTTCATTTCTTATTTACACCAGTTTAGATTCTTAAGTATTGATAGAGTGGCCTATGGGGAGTCGGTCCAAGCATAACTGAAGCTATATTAGGGTAAGAGGATCTCACTTCCCCTTCCCCTCCGAGTTTGACCCACGTGCACACCTGAAGCTCTCTGAGACAGTGACTGTGTTTTATTATATGTTTGCATAGTAGGGCCCAACCTCACTGTGCCTGTGGGTGCTATTGCAAATCCCTATTTCTTTTTTCCAGAGTGCATCACTATAATTTTAGAAGTGGGGGAGGAGTATCCAATCCATCCTTTCCTTAGAAACAGGTCTAATTTTTTTTTCATTTACACCACAGTAAATCAGGAGTGACTCCACTGCAGATAAGGGAGTTACGCCAAAAAATGAAGGCAGAATTGGGCCCTGAATCTTTAAAGAATTCCTCAGAAGAACATCCTCCAGAGAGCATCACGAGGAGAAGAACACTTTGTCTTCTACTGTTGGAATGAGTTGAGCTGGACTCTGTGCTGCAGGAATAAACATCAACTGCTCCTGTTTCAAAGACCGTTTTTTCTCTCTCTCATTTTAGAAACTCAGTATTCCAAGGTATGTAAGGGTCTATCTCCATGTCCTAGTTAATGTCACTCGTATATGGGCTGCATCCAGCTAAGTCCTGAGTACACTTGCCCATATCAAGCCAACCACTTAAGCATGTGCACATGAAGCATGTGCTTAAGTGCTTTGCTGGGTCAGGGTCAGAGTGCCCAGCATCTTGCAGCATCCTGTTCCTGGACAGGGATCAGGAACTCCAAATTATGAGTTTGTGCAGGGGAAGGATATATAAACATTTGAGAAATATCCTGATCTTGCTCTCTGTTGGAGCTTGTCCTCTCTGTTTCCCTTCATGTGTCACTTCTGCCTGTTCAATCCGCAGAATCCGGCTTTGTGCGCTGGGTCAGTCTGAGTTTAGTGGACCTCCAAAGTGCATCTTTCAGCAAACCTCTTCAGAATGTCACTAAGGATCAGGCAACTAGGTAAAGCGCTTGAGACCAGAAACGCAGTCAACAATTAGGCTTGGAAAAATACGAGAGCACAAATTGAGATCAGACAGCATGTACAGAAACAGGAACTAAATGAACTGGGAACAATTTAAAAGTGGTATTTATTAGGAGTGTGCATTTCCTGCAAGCAAACACAGCTGCATCTAATAGAGATTTTGCAAGCTCTGACTACAGGAAGGAGTGGTGGAAGACTGCACAGTTGTTGATGCATCTTCTCTGCTCAGTGGTTTAACATCAAGTAGAGAACTTATAAAGCAGTCCGTGTGCAACTGCAGTGTGAGAGAAGTTAAAGAAAATCTTCTGTCTTTGGACTGCTCGTCTGTTGAAACCAAAGGCATCAGAAATAAATTAACCAACTATCCAGGCATACTTCTTGGATATATGAACAAGAGCTGTATCCAGTGATGCATTTCAGTGCACTGCCATGCAGTTTCTTGGATAGAGGCCCAGGCCCAGGCAATTTGTAATGAAGGATCACTGTTGGCATGCGCTATCTCCTCGGAAGGTTATCCCTCAGAGGTACAACAGTGCACATGTCATGAGCAGCAGCTGTCCTGGCGTGCAGGCAATGATATGTGAGTCTCCCCTTCTGTGATCATTACTCCATATGCCATGTGGATGCAGACAATTGAAAAGCAAAGCATGAAGCAGGTTTTGGATTGGTTTGATTTTGGTGTCTGAAGTTAGTTTTATTGTGGAAAATGCCAAGTGCAAAATTGGTTGGAGAATTGTTAACGTTTTGGCTATCTCATAACCTTACCCTCTTCTCCACCACCACCATCCTCCCCCCACAGCTCATTGTGAAGTGTTGAGATTCTATGATCTTGAAAGGCACAGTACTGTGAACACTCAATGTAATGCCGTTTATGGCATTCTATTATAATGCAAAGCAAAACTGGAGATATGGTAGATATCTAATTTACAAGCTGTTTACACTCTAAATTGAGAAGCCATGTTGTCATCTGCACATATGCTTTTTTCTTACATCTTCTAAGGCAAATACAGTATATTGTTTCTTGGCAATATCCATAAAGTATTACCAAAGCCAAGAAGTTTGCATATGATGCATTGTCATTTCTCTCAGCTAGTCAAGGTGATGTTCTGGCTGGGCTCGGAAAGCAAATAGGAACAGGTACACAGCAATGGCATCTCAAGGTCCAATCAGACCCTTGCAGAATTACGTATACTTGAATCGTTAGTTAGCTGTATGTTCTGGAATGACAAACTGATCCAAATAAATTCAGCAATCCCTAGTCCACAGTTAAATAAGCTTGTTTCTTAAACTGCCCACTCCAAAGAGTAAAGAGTGCTATTCTCTCTTAGAGGACAGGGAAACTCTGACTCTCTGAAACCACTGGGTTTGGGTTTTTTTACAGGAAGGCAGTTGAAGAAGGCTTATTGCTTAGAAGAACTGCCGTGCAGTTAGGTTAGCAAGCAGCCCATTGTCCACACAGTTTTTTCAATGTCTTGCATGCATTTCAGTCTTCATGGGTAGACTGTCTAACAGTCATCTAGTGTAATCCACTTCTGAATTAGGTGACATTTTTATTCTTGCTGTAACTGTAGTGAAACTTGCTCTAAGGAACCACTTCAGTAGGTATTTTAAGCACCTACTTTAAAGTACCCCTAAGATTTCCAGTACCATCTTCTCCAGCCTTTAGTTAAACCATCCGTGTTAGGCAACTGTTTTTGCTGGTCCCTGGAGGTTGCTTATGATAGTTTCAACTTCATTGCCTTCACTCCCCTGAAATCAAACCTATCTTTTTGTTGTTTAGCTTCCCACCTGCCTCACAGTGGCTTAGCATATGTGGATGATTCATTTATTCTTTGCATTGCATTGTTTGATTACATTTTTTCTGCCTCTATAACCTTGTTTTCTTTTTCACAAAAACTTATTTAGACGCTAAGATTCTGGGTGAATCCTCTATAATCTTTGTTTGTTGGAGATCTAGTTATTATTAGATTGTTTACTTCTAATTCTGAAGTTTAATTATGTTTTTCCTTCTGCCGTTGGTACAGGTGCAGCAATTAGATGGCATTAAGTCTGTCTCAGGTTCATTAAATAGGCTTGTTATTGCACTCTGGTATATTTTAGGTGCTGTAAATAAGTCCCCCCCCCCTTTTTTAGTTGGATTGGACTGAAGTTGGTGAATCTTTGGTGTTCTTCTGTTTTAGTACAACTGAGAAATTTCTTGCGTTAGGTATCTCCAGTATCATGGCTCATTAACCAGTTCAGTCCAAACCACCCTCTTCCACTGAGGCTGAAAAAGCCAGAGCTGACCAGAGTTAAAAAAGGGTAGATGGTGCACATACACACACATGTGCTCGCTCTCTTTGTTTTAATGTACATTTTGATGTATTTACTTGCACCTTGTAGCCGTTCCCATATAAAGGGAGCTTGCAGAAGTGGTTTAATAGTCAACTAAGATAAATGAACCTCAGCAAGGGCGGGGTGTGTGGGGGGTGTGGACAGTTCCAAGATTCCCAGGGCAAAACTGGTTATACAAAGTAGTTTGCGAATGTACTGATCTGGTTTCCTTGGCAACAACTGAGATGAAGGTTGAGAACAGCAGTTGCATTAAGGGAGCCAGTTCTGTCTATGACAGCAAGGAAGATATCGGTTAATTCCTAGATTTAGCAAATGAGAGCCCTATTTTGAGAATGTATGTATATAGGAGAGCGAGAGAGTAATCATTCCCCTAGGATTTACAGGAAAACAGTCTATTCCACATGTAGACCTCTTCTGTGCGAAAAGAAGTGTCAGCTGCTCTGCAGCACCATCTCCTCCATCTTTGATCTGAAAAGAGCTTTCTGAAGATCTCTAGATCCCCCTGTGGGGACAGCATGGACCAGGGCGGGGAACCAGGTAGGTTATGTTCAGTCCTGGCGGCAATGAGCTGAGGATCGACAGAGGAGTTAGTGCAGTCTCAGACGACATTAACTCTCAGCTGCTTCGCTCTGTGCTACGGTATATGACGTGCATGTCACTTGCAACTTCTTTTATTGCATCTTTAAATATCTAAGAGTCTGGCTAGCTGCAAAGCTACTTCCATTTTCTGGTGCAGCACACTGCAGAGGAAACATGCGTCATGCACTCTCCTGGGGAAATCTTATTTTTGTTTCTTTTTCTTGTTTCTATTTAGAACTGTGGAATGGAGTCAATGGGCATAAGTAAAAATTACTATAGAGTACTTACTCCTTAGTGGAGTGAAACCAGACTCTGGGGTAATGTTTCAGTGCTGGTCCTGTGTAGAACTCTCAGTAATAGAAATTAATTATGCAGCGTGAGTAGAGACCATTCATCTACGTTCTCTCTTGACATTCAGAACATGTAATGTATTTACTTGCTTTAGTGCATGAAGACTGAAGCATAACAAAGTAAATTTACCTAAGACCCCAAATTTCAGTGGGCAGTTCATTCAGTCCTACCTGAAATAACATTTGGTTTAGTAGTTAAACCTTGTTACAATGAATACTTCATTTTATAAAATATATGTCAAAGTATGTTTTCTTTTCAACTCTCCTGTACTTAACCACTGTCAAACAGACATGTATTTTGGTCCAGTATTTGCAAGAGGACTGTTCACTGGCCACTGCAACATGAATCCATTAAGTATAGAAAGAGGGGCACAAAAGCATCTACAAATATTTGAGCAGTCAATGATCTTGAGGATGGAAAAGGTGATGCATAATTAAGAGTAACAGAATGAAATTAAGAAAAGGAAACTTAGACTGGATAACCAAAAAATATTTCTTGGCAATGAGATCTGTCAGGGAAGAAAAGGTTCCAACTGTTGAGACATAGAAAATTAGACGGAACAAAGAACTAGAAAATCAACTGTGGGTAAGATTCCTGCACTGGCAGATGACATAGGTGTTTTCTGTTTTTCACTTCCACCTCTACTCCGATATAACACTGTCCTCGGGAGCCAAAAAATCTTACCACGTTATAGGCGAAACCGCATTATATTGAACTTGCTTTGATCCGCTGGAATGCGCAGCCTCCCCCTCCCCCCCGGAGCACTGCTTTACCACATTATATCCGAATTCGTGTTATATCGGGTCGCGTTATATCGGGGTAGAGGTATATATTATTCTGGCTGTTGTTTGAAGTGAAGTAAGTATGACAATTAATGGCAATGAGCCACATTTAGAGGTAAGTCTAAGTAAGTTTAGAGGGGACATTAACTGATGTAACTTTACACCTACTTCCAGTAGCCACTCTACCAATGTCTGAGGAAATCTATGCTGAATATGTACCCCTAAAGAGAGTTGGGAGAAAAGATCCCTTTAACTGCATATTACTTGCAAATTCATGGACAGAATGTCTGAATCATGTCTTTTGAGAGCTATTTTTACTGTAAAAAAGAGGCTCCCCCTTCACTGTTTCTAGAAGAAATCTACATTTACATCACACTCCAACATAAGCTGTTGTTTTGCCTGCATTTCTGATGATCAGGCTGCAAACTATCTCTTGTTGCAGTGACATTTGTTCAGCGAAAGGAATTTTGACTACTGCGCTAGCCTGCTGAGTCTTGATTCATGTTTTACTTTTTCTTATTAATGTAACCCTTCTAACAGGTGGGGACGGCAGCAACCAGGGCCGGGTTCGATATCTAGGAGTTCCTTTCCATCAATACAACACAGAACCAGCTCGAGCCCCCACCCCTGAGTGCCTCTGAGAGGCAATACTTCCCCACTCGCAAGCACAGAGTCTGAGTGTAGAAAAGGAACTTTTAATGAAAGGAGGGAAGTCACCCAACATTAATTAGGGAAAATGCCACAAGCAGGATTCATAAACATAAAACTGTGAGCAGGACACTCACCCCAGAGTGCGAGGGACCATGTCTTCTGCCTCATGTTCTTGAGTTCTATAACCAAAGGTTCCTTTTTTGTGCCCCTCTCTGCTCCCTCAACACACCCCACTCACTGTGGTTGTCTTTGGTCAGTGAGGACCCAGGGTGCAGAAGTGCATCTGTGTGAGTTTTACCTCCCTCCCAGGGAAGAAGGCACCTGGCTTGCTCCGCCAGCTGAGCACTTGCTTTGGCTGGCCGCCCTTGCTAGCCACTGTTCCTCTCCGCTGGCCACCTCGCCAGCCGCTGCTCCTCGCCACCTGGACGTCCTGTCAGCAGCTGTTCTCTGCTCGCCAGTCACCTTCTGCCACCTGCCTCTCTTCTGTGACCTCTGCAAGTCAGTCTCTTGAGAGGCCACCCAGCTCTTAGGGCTTGTCTACATTACCCACTGGATTGACGGCAGCGATCAATCCAGCGGGGACTTGATTTATCACGTCTAGTCTAGATGCGGTAAATCGACCGCCGAGCGCTCTCCTGTCAACTCCGGTACTCCACCAGGGCGAGAGGCGCCGGCGGAGTCAACAGGAGAGCGTCAGTCGTCGACTTACCGCAGTGACGACACCGCGGTAAGTAGATCTGAGTACGTTGACTTCAGCTACGTTATTCACATAGCTGAAGCTGCATAACTTAGATCGATTTCTTCCCCCTTCCCTCCAGTGTAGACCAGGCCTCAGTGATTGTCAGAGAGATGCTGAATGCAGGTTTATTTGAACAAGTGGAACTTTATTAAACCCTCCAGACAGCTCTAACCTAATTGGTTCTAGTCTAACTCCCTGCATTTCTATTGTCCAGTCAATAATAGTCCCTCCAGGAGACAGGGGACCTCTGATTGCAGTTCTACTGGTCAAGATACGCCTGGTTCAAGTCCCCATTCTTGGGATTTGAACTGGGGTCTGCCACAGCACAGTTGAGTGCCCTAACCTGTGAGCTGTGGGCTAGTCTGTTGTGGGTGGCCTCAATTTCTCCTGTTGAAGCTGTTCTATTGGGGATAAATAAACTTATCACAGCAGGGGGACTCAATCATGGCTCTTCCACATCCCGGGTGAGTGCAGTAACCATTAGGTAACAAGTATTGGGGTAGCCGTGTTAGTCTGTATCCACAAAAACAACAAGCAGTCCGGTGGCACCTTAAAGACTAACAGATTTATTTGGCTTTCGTGAGTAAAAAACCTCACTTCTTCAGGTGCATGGAGTGAAAATTACAGATGCAGGCATTATATAATGACACATGAAGAGAAGGGCTCATTAGGCAACTGTCAGTCTTGTGTGTGCACTCAGCCAGTGACTCTTATTTATCCACAGTGGAACAACTTCAAGAGGAGAGATTGAAAGAGCCTCACAGCTGAGAGATGGCAAATCCCTGTTTAAATTCTCTCTCCTTCTCACAAGTAGGACCTGACGCAGGGTCTCTTCCAATGTGAGTAACCACTGGACTAAAAGTTAGGGGTGGGCTCTCCTTCTCCCTCCCCACACCATTTTGTGTAAGCGTGCCTATAGAACCTGATACACCAGGTGAGTTTGAGCACACTTACCAGCTAGGGCCCCACAAGCAAGCTTGGTAGAGGAACGCCTGTCGTCCCCCAGTTCATGTATCACTCTGGGGCTTAGGCATCTGGACACTGAGCAAGGAGTTGCAGTGAGCATGTGCAGATGTGGAAACATAGGTGCCTAGGGAACTTCTAGTGCAACAATTTAGGTGCCAAGAGAGCTTAGGTACCTACAAAGTCTGGAGGCTGCTGAACAGGGGGGATTTTGAATCATAGTCAGGCCTGATTTCGGGATTTAGGCTTGTAACTTGTATTTCTCAAAATATAGCCAAGTGATCTTGACTGCACTTGTGGTTCGATATTTAAAAAGTTCAAGAGACCAAATAACCAAGCTCCAGACTGGAGCCTCCAGTCACTTATTGTCTAAAGACATGCAGTTCACTTTTCACAGGGGTGCTCCCATACCATGCACGCGAGACTACATAGATACAGTAACCTCTTTACAAGTTAGAGAGCATTCTGTGTCACCAGAGACTAAATTTAACCAACCAGCTTTTGGTCTTGTTCTTCTGGCACTATGGTGTACCTTTCCTTTGCTGTTTTGGGTACTGTATTCCAAACCAATTGTCCATGCGGGTACCGCCATACTTGTACCAGGACAATCCACAACTGTATATTGCCTTTAACAGGTTTCCTGTTTTCCAGTGCCAAAGCTGACTTTAGCTTTGCAAAGTGTTGTGGGATACTTGGCATAGGTGAACAGAATTACAGGAAGAACCTGATATATGTCAGGTAGCCTAATTACACAGCATTCATATTTAATATCATGTAGACAGTATTAGTTGTGTATAACACTTGTTAATGTGGTGCGTGTGTGTGCATATATAATGTGTCTGTGAATAGAAGCCAGTTAGGGGCGTAAGTCCTTTTGTGAATCTAGCCCAGTGTGGTATTGCTATTAGCAGAATAGGGTTATATGCTGTTTTACACATGAGTACATAAACAGGTAAAAGGAACCCAGCTATGAAGGGCAGGGAAGGCACAATTGTGGGATGAGACAGGGAATAAGAAGAAAATCTAGGGGAGAGCACTTCCCTCTCCTTTGTAATCAGGTGTCTTCCAGACATTTCAGGGGCTTATTTTTCTTGTTTCCATTTGTCATTTATTTTCTCCCTAAGCACTTCTATGGTGCTCAGTACCACAGAATGAGTATTTGGCCTCTCTAGCATTTCTGATCCTACCAACAGTCAGACACTGGAGTAGGCAGGGGAGTTTAGTAGTTGAATATTAACTCTCACGATGCTTTCAGGAAGGATTTGAAGATGTACACTAGACCTTCTATTTGATAAACAGACACAGTAGAGCTGACCACAGAAACTTTGAAATAAGACCTGCCAAGTGAAAACCTGAAAAATCATTCAAACATCCAGAAACTTGAGTCATTTGTTTTCTCTGTCCAGGTAATGTGAGGGTCTAAGCATATCTAATACATAAAACTGATCTTGCATCTAATGGTGGTCTTAATAGAAAATGTAAACCTTTTATTGAACACTGGAAGCATGTACTGTTAGGAGATCTGACTATCTTTGCATATAAAGATTAAAGGAATTTAATCATCATCATTGTATGTATCCCATGGTTATTGAACAGATGCAGAGAATGATTTGTGATTCACCTTCTTATGTTCTCTAGGTCAGAGATTCACCAAGCAAATGTACTTGAAGATGGCATCAACTCCAATAAACCCTGAAGTTACTTGCTCTTTGCTAAATATTAGCTTTTGTTCAGCCCTCCTGATATCTGAAAAATATGTCCTCAAAGACAGACCTCTGTTTTAACCATTGATCTACCACAGCCAACTGCAAATATCTGTCCATGGCCTTTTTCTGACAGGCAAGATGAAATAATGGCAACAATCAAAGAGTTAACAGGAAGACTTTTTGGCTCTTCCTTCTCCCACTTCAGGTTTGTCAGTGATGGCATGCAACGACACTCCCATAGACAGTGATGTTGCTCTCAATGAGAGTACCCTATCCATAGGCTCCAGTTACACAGCTCTGCCTGCCCCACTCAGGATATTGTTGGTAATAATAATGGTCTTCATGATTGCCGTTGGATTTTTTGGTAATGCCATTGTCTGCCTCATTGTCTACCAGAAGCCAGCCATGCGTTCAGCCATCAACCTGCTGCTAGCAACTTTGGCCTTTTCTGACATCATGCTGTCTTTGTTCTGCATGCCTTTTACCGCAGTTACAATTATTACAGTGACCTGGAACTTCGGGGCTCACTTCTGTCGGATATCAGCTATGCTCTATTGGTTATTTGTCTTGGAAGGAGTCTCTATACTCTTGATCATTAGCGTGGACCGTTTCTTAATTATCGTTCAACGGCAAGACAAGCTGAACCCTTATCGTGCCAAAGTCATCATCGCCATGTCCTGGGCACTGTCCTTCTGCATTTCCTTTCCTTCAGTGATTGGATGGACATTTGTGGAAGTACCAGCCCGGGCTCCCCAATGTGTTCTGGGGTACACTGAATTTCCTGCTGACAGAGCTTATGTCGTGATGCTAGTTGTGGCAATTTTCTTCATCCCTTTCAGTATCATGCTGTATTCTTACCTTTGCATTCTAAATACCGTGCGGCGCAATGCCCTTAGGATCCACAACCATGCTGACAGCCTTTGCTTGAGCCAGGTGAGCAAACTAGGCCTCATGGGACTACAGAAACCTCAGCAGATGAATGTGGACATGAGCTTCAAAACCAGAGCCTTCACTACAATTCTCATTCTATTCATTGGCTTTTCACTCTGCTGGCTTCCACACACTGTGTTCAGCTTGCTCTCTGTGTTTAGCAGACAGTTCTACTACAGCCCTTCTTTCTACATCACCAGCACCTACATCCTGTGGCTGAGTTACCTCAAGTCAGTGTTTAACCCTGTCGTCTACTGTTGGAGAATCAAGAAATTCCGTGAGGCCTGCATGGAATTCATGCCTAAAACATTCAAGATCCTCCCTAAAGTGCCTGGACGAACAAAGAGGAGAATACAGCCAAGTACAATATACATTTGTAGTGAGACCCAGTCAGCTGTTTAGGAAGAAGCTGTGGGCCAGGGAGGGCAAAGTTATGAAAGGATTGGTTAAAGTAGGCAATAGTTCATTTCTACTATTTACTTTCTGCTGTTGTCACAAATCTTTAAAAGGATGCTGTGCTCCATTGTTCTTTGTGTTAAGATTGTATTTCTAACTTCCCCCAAGCTTACAAATAACTCATTAGTACTGCTTGAATTAAAACCACTTGGTGCAATAATGGTGCAATACTTGGTGCCATGTAAAAATGTCACTTGTGACCAAAAATATAGTCTGTCTAATAACAATACAGTGGTAACAGCTGAAACCCTGTATCCTCCTTTTTAAAAATATATATAACTATTGTTTTCATCACACAGCTCAAGTGGAAAAAAATACAAGAAGAAGAATAAAAATGTGGGAGAGTCGTAAGTCTAGAAGTACCAAGCTCTAGAACAAAAAAAAAAAAATGTTTTAATTCTGTTCATTGCCAAATCACTGCAGAATTTGAATCCTCATCTTCCTGTGAATCTTCCTGTGCAATGTGTCAAAGAGATGGAAACAATTGTTTTGTACAGTGGTGTAACGGCAATGTCAGATTGAGTCTGTTCATCTTTGACTGTCATAAGTGTTCACGAATACACACCCCAGTACCTCTTAAAGCTGGTACGAGGTGAGGTGCATATTGCCACGGACACATTTTTATATTATGACAATGACTAATAGTTGTGTAGCTTTTCATTTTTTAAAATAGCCATAGCTATCATGTCCTGTGCAGCTCCCCAAGCAAGATTTTTCATGAAGGAGGCTTTTTCTGACTCTGCTTATCTCCCATTATCTAATTTGTCATTGACACTTGTATACACTTTCCATCAAAGAATCTTAATATAACACATACCTGTGAGATAGCTCGTATCTCCATTTTACAGATGAGAAACTGGGGCACAGAAAGGAGGTGACTGACCTCAGGGCACACCGCCACTCTATGGCAGACCAGAAATAGAGTGCTGAAGTCGTGGCTTCCAATCTCATGCATTGACCTGTAGCCTATCCATCTTTTATTTCTATCTTCAGCACTCTCTCCTCTCTTGGTTACACACGCGCATTTCCTTTTGTGTTCATCACTCTTGCTTGACCTAGTCCTTTCTCCCCCTGCAGAGGCCTTTGTTTTCCAGTTCTACCTTCCCAACATGTTCCCTGTCACCGCCTTCTGGTCCTGTCCTACTTCCCCAGTTTGTCAAGCTGTATCCTGTACCTCACCCCAAGATTGGTCCCTCTACACATGCCATGCACATTATCTCCCTGTGATCCTGTCCCTGGGGTAGGGAATGTGGTGGTGGTGCTGTTTAGGGCCAAGAGGCACATGTACCAAGAGGTAGATGTACAAGAGAACCCAGATGAAGCAGCCAGTGCTGGTTAGTTTTTCCTTCATGCTGCCTGCTGCAATATGCTGCTCTGAGGGATCGAGAGAGCAGGAAGAGCAGTGAGGGAGGAGAAAAAGGAAAAAGTCTGGACTCCCTAGTGGTAGGAGGAGGAACAGCAAGGGAAACCTTATTTAGTCCACATGACCCTGTTTATGCATATCATCTGGGGCAGATACATGATTGTCATGCCAGAAGTGACCTTTAAATTGCTCAGACTTGGTGCACTCAAGTTAGTTTGCAGTGACCTGTTTTGTTAAAGATTCAAATGCACAAACTAAACTGCTCGAAAGCAGTCCTATCCAGTGCTGCCAGTCCAGGCAGTCAGACCAGCATCGTCTCATGATCAAAAGCTGCTGAGAGCGCAAACTGTCTGTATGGAAAACTGCCTAGTATTCCTGTTTCTCACAACCTATAGCTATCTCCCCTCATTTTAGGTACGTAACTGGGATTGGCAGATAATTTTAAAAAATCCCATTTTCCCCAGAGGGAGTTGTTCTTCCATCATCTTCCCCCCCCCCCCTTCCCCCCAAAAGAACAATTTAAGCCTTGGTACAATAATTCAAGAAAACATCTGACATTGAGGGATCTATTGATCAGTGATCAAACTTCAGTGGAAAACCAAAGAATGGAAAACCTTGTGGTACAAAATCTTAGTTATAGAAAGACTACAAAATTACTACTAAATAAAATCCGGGGGAGGCAGCCCAGCCTCAGGGTCTCTCAGCTCTAGTACAGAGGTGCCCCTTCCAGTCACCCCTCTCTCGGGGAAGGTTGCATAAGTACTGAGAAACAATTATATAGTTAAAATAAAATGGCTGCAATGTCTAATTTCAGGGAGGCTGTACAGTAAAAAAAAATAATAATTTTCAATTACCGTCCCGGTAGAGTGGAGGATATGTTTAAAATCTATACCCAATTAAAACTACAGGTTTGGAGAAAAGTAGGGTATTCCAAATTATCTGAACATCATTCTAACATAGGGGTTAATGTTAAGGTATAATTGCTGATGGCCTGGAAAGCAAGTGTCAAAAAATAGGATTAACCTCACATTTTTTGCAAGATAGCACAGCCGAAGCTACTCTACAGTTGATGCAAATGCAATACCCAAATTTTGCATGGCCAGACTAGTTCCAGCTGTCAAAAACAAGGTAAGGACTAATGCTAAGGTCTTTTGAAACCAGTGGACTTTTCCAAATGCACATCATATAAGTAGCAAACAATGATGTGAAATGACAAGCACATTGACCCTATCAGCACACTGCACTGTAATGCTGCTGCATAATGATGTGATTGAGCAAACTGTAGATTGGTAGCATGTATGACTCTGGCTCACAGGACAAGCTATTAAAGGTGACATCCACAACTTTGAGGACATTTGGCTGACTGATTTGAAAATGCCAAGGCATGCACGTACATAATGCAACTGCAGTTGCAGTGTCTTCCTGAAAAGTTACATGTGCTATGGTTAGGAAGACACAGTCACTTTCATGTGTCTGTAACAGTCCCGCCTCCCTAGGTCTGTGGGGTGATAGACATAGGACTTTCAACAGCAAAGGCTGCCACCATTTGAGCTCAAGCAGTGACTAGCAGGAGCCTGCTCTCTCCTGGGCATCGAGATAGGGACATGTTACAGCTAATGTCAGCCTGAAAATGAAAGCTTTTTAAAGGGATGCATTGTGATGAGGGGCATTTTTAGAAACCACCTAGGTGTCCAAACCACTGCCAATAATTGGGAGGGACTGTCAGTTATTCTGCTTATTGCATTGAGCAGGCCTTTGCAGGAACTTAGCTTAACTAAGGCAAAGCTGGAAGGGAGGAGACAGCGATCACATGGAATGTGCTGAGTCCATGTCCTCTCTGATGTGCTGGGGTAAGCATCCGTTGCAAAACAGGAAGGCTATCTATATTTGACTTCTGGTGTGTGTGTGTGTGTGTAGTGGGGGGTGGGGGGAAAAGCATGAGACTGAAAACTGCAAAAACTCATCTGTATAACTAATGGCTTAAAAAGTATTTGCTTAATGGTTTTTCTCTGATTGACATGTTTACTAATGTAACCCTTCTGCCCATCTAAGTTGGCAGCAACAAGGGCCGGGTTCTGTATCTAGGGATTCTGTTTCAATAACGCAATGCAAAAACGGCTCGAGCCCCCACCCAGTGGCCTGAGACAATTACATACCACCGCCTGGGCGCCTCTAAGAGACAATACTTCCCCTCTCGCAAGCATGGAGTCTGAGTGTAGCAGAAAATGTTTCATAACATGAGGTAAACAACATCAGCATTAAATTGGAAAAAACACCACAAACAGGATTCATAACACAAACCATGAGCAAAAGACCCACCCCAGCAAATTGGGCCGTGTCCTTCCCCTTTGGTTCTTGAATCCAGCAACCCAAAAACCACCCAAAGTCCCAGAAGTCCAACAACCCCCAAAGTATCTGTCCCTGGTCAGTGCAGCCCCAGACTAAAAGGGGGGCACGCAGGGTGTTAAGGGGCACCTTACGTGATCTGAGGCCGACTGGCCATCTCTCCATGGGGTTCCGCCGCAGCCTTCACCACGAGCCAGGCCACTGCCTGCCGTGCCATGAACTGCTCTGCTCTACGAGCTGCTCCGCTCACCGACCTGTGAGCCGCTCCAGCCGTCCCCACAAACGGCTCTGCTCGCCGTTCCTTGGGCCGCTCCAACCGTCCCCGCAAGGCTCCGCGCCGCTCGCTGCTCTGCCAGCCACTTAGCAATATAGCTTCAGTTTCCCCCCACTAGTTAACACAGCACTCAGTGATTTCAGCTCTTAGTAACTTTAGCTCTCAGTGATTTCAGCTCATAGTAGGGGAGCCCTAGTGCTGTTGCACTATTGGCCCAAAGTGAATTCAGCTCAGCAACCTGTAACTAGACTCTTAATGGAATCAAAGTTAGCTCTGACATTCAACAGTGAAGCAAGATGGTAGTGCAATTGATGTTTCAGGCCCTCAAAGGGGCCCAGACCATCAGGTACAAATACCTACCTCCATCCTCTCTCTATTCACTGGGTTGTGGAACACATGTCCCTTGTCTAGCGAGAGCTACTTAGGTGATGGTGAGACCCTCTGTCATAAAAAAGTTTCATTATCCTTGATTCACATAATCAGGGTAACAACACTTTATTCCTTCTGTCCCAATAACAGAGAAACTGGGGATCCCACCCCATCCAAAGTAACCACTATCAGTTGCTGTTGTCTCATGCCAGGTGAGTGGGTGTGCCTATGCAAACAAAATCAGCCCCTGGAGTTCTTTTCCACGCTCACCATAATTCACCACCAGATGTCAGGGTAGAGCTCATCCTGACTCTGCTTACACTAACAAAAACGGGGTTGACAGGTCTGAGGAATTTGGAATCCCAGTGACAGGCGGATAGCTGGCCACTTGGACCTTGTCGTTTGACCACTCGTGACCCCGCCAAGCCGTAGGTATTTAGTGTTTGGGGGTGCTGTATAACTGAGGCTGCGAGTTTGTCATAGAAGTCATGGATTTGTCATGGCAGGCACCACCCCCGCAGCTCCCATTGGCCGTGGTTCCCAGCCAATGGGAGCTGTGGAGCTGGCGCTCAGGGAGGAGGCAGCACACAGAGCTGCCTGGTCACACCACCTAGAAGCTGAGGGATGTCGCCACTTCCAGGGAGGCACGGAGTCAGGTAGGGAGCCTACAAACCCCGCCAACTACCCTGCCCCCCCGCAGCACCAGCAGGGGTCCAGGGGTGCACACCACCACCCCGTGGGCCGCCCTCCCCAGGACCTGCTGTGCCCTTGGGCTGCTCTCCCCATCCCAAGATTTAGTCAGGAGTATATAGTACAATCATGGACAGGTCACAGGCCGTGAATTTTTGTTTACTGCCCATGACTTTTACTAAAAATCCCTGTGACTAAAATGTAG